TCTGCTTGGTGACAGACTGCTAATAAGAGCATTTTTCCCAAGTACTTTATTTGTGTGTTAATAAATAGATAACTTCCAGAGCTATAACTTCTCATCAGACAATGATAATGGAGCACACTTGAGCTGAATGGACTTGAAGAGATTGTCCTATTCCTTTTTGGCCCAAATACTTAAGACTCCAGGAAGAAGTAGAAGACAGCCCTCTTGTGGTAGTTATTTAAACCATCCAGTTTGTGGGGAACATGGATTGAGGAAAAAACCTGGGGGACAAAGCTATACTCTTCCTTCCAGAGTATAGGGGCAGTGGGATTGGCGATGTAACTCAGTTGTAGTGTGCTTGCCAAGCATATGTGAGGCACTGGGCTCAATCCCCAGCACTGCAAGAAACAAAACAGTATGAGGTACAACAAGGTCTGAAGGCTCTGGGGATTCATTGCACTCAGCATTGCCAATTCAAATTTCTGGATTGGTTAGAAGAGAAAGCTGACAAGTTTTATATATTTTTTGTTATCCCCACATATCCCAGGACTGGAGATTGAATCCAGGAGTACTCCACCACTGAATTATACTCTGAGCCCTTTTTATTTTTAATTTTGAGACAGGGTTGTGCTAAGTTGCCAGGGCTGCCCTTGAACTTGTGATCCTCCTGCCTCAGCCTTCTGAGTTGCTGGGATTGTAGGCATGTGCCACTGTGCCTGATGGCAAGTACTTTCATGTTTTCAGGTCTGTGTTAAAAATGGGTCAGACCTCTACACTCATGGAGGGACTTGGGGATCCATTTTTGGGATGCTCTGGAATCCTTTGGGATATATATATAATGTACCATTTGGAGAATAACTGTGTAGCGGATACCCTGTCTTTTGCTGCTGCACAGAGTTGGGAGTAGTGTACTTGGTCAGGCTGTAATAATGCTAAGCAGCTTCTTTCCAGTTCTCTCACTTTCTAACTCAGTAATTGAAGAGGTGGAGTATCATGGTGGTCCCTGGGGAGTAATAGGATTCAGATGCCTTCATTCTTTAATTAGAAAGGTTTTTTCTAATTGGGTTTCCTGACCCTGGTTATCGGTATGGGTAAGAATAATCCTGAATTCCTGAGAAAGGTGAAGCAGGTTAGGACAGAGGAAATGGAAGCTTTGAGTATGGTAAAGGAAGCAAAACCACTGAAGGCACTGGAAGTGAGGAAATTGGGTCAGGTGTGAAAGTGTCTGCTCATCTGTGTCACTTTGGCCATGAGCCGCAGGAGAGTATCTGGGCCCTACTTGTGGATCCAATATGGCTTCTGAGCTAGACATAGCAGGGTAGAGACACTCAAGGCAGAACTGGCTTTCCATGCACAGAGCTGACCAGTTCTACCTATGTGCAAACCATTGAGAGTTTTCTGGCACCTCTGAAGGTGGGGGCTTTTCTAGGAGTGATTCTCTGATTTATGTAATACTTCTAGTCAGGGTTGAGGGAGCTCCCCTCCCTTTTCCAGAACCCCATCTCATCTTTCAGGTTCTTCTAACTTAACCCAGGGAAAAAGCTCCTTCCTTGGTCCCTCCTGGGTCGAGGTGGGCTTGTGCTACCTTCTGTAGGTGGATATTGTTGTCTGTTTTTGTTTTGTTCTTTTCTTTTTCATTGTTACCCTCTTTTTCTTGTATCCACTCTCCCTTCACATTCAGGTTCTCAAACAGAGCCTGAACAAGACAATAGCCTCCCACTTTCCTGACACCATTCTAGGAATGTAGCAGGAACTTTCAAAGTGTTTCCACTGCCTTAGACTGGCATTCAGGGTTCTTCACAACCAGCCCTTAATTCCCTCTCCACCTACCTCTCTCTGCTTCTCTGGCAAGTCTCTTATTTTCGCCAAGTTGATTGATTAATTTCACCCCAAAATCTTGTCTTCTCTGCCTTTACCTTCTTTATTGTTTGATTAAAAACATCCCATGTCAAGATCTAGCTTGTTTCATCTCCTCCACAAAGCTACCCATGGCCTCTCTAAACACAGGCCTTTTTTCCTTTTTTCTTCCACCCTGATTCCTTTAGCTCTATTAGCATAGTTCAGTCAACACCTTCCATACTTCCCTTGTATTGTTATCTTTCTTGTTGATTAATATTTAAAAAAATTTTTACAATAAAAGTAATTTATATTATAAAAGATCCAAATAATAGTGCTGGGTGGGATAAAGCCTGTAATCCCAGCTACGTTGGAGCCTGAGGCAGGAGGTTCACAAATTTGAGGCCAACTGGGCAATTTAGCAAGATCCTGTCTCAAAACAAAAAGTGTTGGGGATATGACTCGGGTAGAGTGCTTGTCTAACATTCATGTTGCCCTAGGTTCAATTCCCAGTACTTTCAAACAAACAAAACATAAATATATAGAGTAATGTGGAATTTGATGTCTATTCTTCCTATTCCTATCTTCTAACCTAACCACCCTCAGTTATGCTCCTAGCACCTTTAGAAAAAGATTTTTTTAGATGTTGATGGACTTTTATTTTATTCATTTATTTATATGCAGTGCTGAGAATCAAACCCAGTGCCTCACACATGCTAGGCAAGTGCTCTACCACTGAGCCTCAACCCTGATCCCCCTCTCATTACTTTAAAAAATATATATATAATCAACACATTTTAGTTAAAATATGAATTCATTTATGTCACATGTGTACTATACCTGCTTTTTTATTTAAGGGTATATACATTTGGCTTAGAAGTTTTACATACTAGTGTAGTTAGATCTTTATTTTTGATAGTTTCTCCTTATTTCATTGTGTAATTTTTCAAAATAAAACACTTGTGCAGGGTGTGGTGGTACACACATCTGCAATCCCAAGTGACTCAGAAGACTAAGTTAGGAAGATCACAAGTTGGAATCCAGACTCAGCAACTTAGAGAGACCCTGTGTCCAAAAAAAACTGGAGAGGTAGCTCAATCCATAGTACCAAAGGAGGAAAAAGAACACATTTGTCTAGAATCTGTTATTTGGAGATTATTGTTCAGCTGGTACCTTGGGAGATCTAGGAATGATCACAGCCTGTCCTTGGTATCAGTGAGCTGGCTATTGGGGGATATGAGACTGGAGGAGAGGGGCATGCACAAATAGCTGCAACCCAAGGGAAAATATAAAAATGTCCCTAAGTATATGCCTGAAGTTCAAAAATAGGGAAAGTCACTGTTAACTAAGAGAATCAGAGCTTCACTGAGGAGATACTTGAATTTAACCTGGAGGAAACTTGACAGGTAAAGAGAGGAGCATGAACTAGGACATAGAGATGGAAACACATGGTATAGGTTCCTCTGATGGCCAGATCACAGTCCAGAAGCAGGAAGAGGTTTTGGTCCAGTTCATAAACATTTGTATGTCAGACACAAGCAATGAGGATATAGAAAAGAGAAACATGAGGTTCTGTTTCTAAAAGGCTTTCAGTTTAATAGGCTAAAAGACCAGTTGAGAAAAGTAAATAAGTGCTAGATTACAAAAGCTTTTAATTGGCATGTCAAGGAGTCAGAATTTTATTCACTGGGCAATGTGGAGCCATGGTAGGTTTTTGGTGGGCAACTGACATGACAAACTAAATAGTAAAAATGTACAGAATGATCTCAAGTAGGAGAGGTTGGGAATGAGGTTTATTCCTCTTTTAAATAAAAAAGTAAAATCTCAATTTAAAGATGTTTGGTGGTTTGGGGATGTGATTCAATAGTAGAGTATTTAACCTAACATGGGGGAGACCCTGGGTTCAATCTCCAGTGATCCCTAAGGGATGGTTGGAGGAAGGCATCTGATGGTAGGCAATCCAGGGGCTGATGTGGTGGCTCTTCAGTTTTTAGGCTTTTATCTTTTTTTTCACCATGCTAGGACATAGCCTTCATCCTTATGATCACCTCATGGTCTAATATAGCTACCAGAGCATAATTAATCTTATCTATCTTCCAGGTAGCAGAAGGAAGGAAGGCAAGACCTTGTGGGGAGGGAGAGGAACACAGTGATACATTTCCTAGCTAACTCCCTTTGAAGAACTTTCTTGGAAGTCCAAGACAATACTTACTTTCTTTTCTTTTTCTTTTTTTTGGTACTGGGCCAAGACAATACTTTCAACACTTCTGTTTCTTATTAGACATAAACTAGGTGACCAATAAGTCCTCTAGGTTTTTTTTTGTTGTTGTTTGTTTGTTTGTTTTTGCAGTGCAGGGGTTTGAGTCCAGGGGCACTAAGCTACATCTCAGCACTTTATTTTTTTGGTAAGAGGGATTGAACTCAAATGCACTAAACCACCAAGCTACATCCCCAGCCCTTTTTTGTATTTTATTTAGAGACAGTGTCTCTCTGAGTTCCTTAACACTTCACTTTTGCTGAAGCTGGCTTTGAACTTGCAATCCTGCCTCAGCCTCCTAGGCCACTGGGATTATAGGCGTGTGCCACCTTGCCTGGCCTCTTTTTATTTTTTGAGACAGGGACTTACTACTAAGTTGTCTAGGCTGGCTTTGAATTTGTGATCCTCTTGCTTCAGCCTCCCTAGTACCTGGGATTATAGGTGTGCCCCACTATGTCTGTGACCATATGCAGCTTTAAGGGAGACATAGAAATATACTTTTATGGGGATATATTCAGTATTTAGAATTTTGCGATATAATTTGCATAAAGTGAGATTCCAAGATTGTAAACAGAGTTTAAGATTTGACAAGTGCTTGCAGCCAACTCATGACCCTCTCACGTTATGGAGCATTCATCACTCCAGAAATTCCCTCCTGCTGGTGTGTGTGTGTGTTTTCTTTAACAACCCCATAGAGTGGCTGGGGCTGGGCGGGGGGG